CCCGAAGTTGACGTTTTGCTTAGAAGTATTTGTAGTTGTCCGATTTGCATGATCTAGGTGTGGATTCCTATGTTTTCAAGCCTGCTGAAGTAGATTTTCCTGTTTATAAAGCACACGGACACATATTTTTCTCACTTTGCACATTTGTTTATGATTTTCATACGATTGCATGGCTATGGGGTGTAGGGGTGTAGGGGTGTAGTTTTAGAGGCAGTACCTTTGTTTCAGCAGTCAGCCACATCCATTGGATGGACTACTGGCACTGGTCCTCACCACTGGCCCAACTCTTATCTATGGCTCCAAGAAGATGCTAGTGCACGGCATCGGCCACACCTTGGTAAACTGCGTTGGCCCACGGGCTAAACTAGATGAGGGTAGCACACAGAAGGTCTCTGCGTGTGATGGAGTACATCTAGCTCCAAAACTTTCAAGTGCATGAAGTTGATGAAGTTCTTGAAGGAGTGATTGTCGGGCACTACCAAGGCACATTGGTGACATCACTGCTGTGAAACTCAGCATGGGGTTCAGTGTCAGCTAAGTAGGAAATGTATGTTGGCATCATACTGCAACTACCTACTAGTGTCCCAAATGCTGCCTAATCAACCCCGGATCAGTTAGGCAGCCGCACCTGAATTGACAGGACGTGCCAGCGCAGGAGAGCCGAGCCAAGGATAACGGGGTTTTAGTTATCTGAATGGTGTACAGATCGCACGGGACTTAATGACACTGGATGAACGATCGGACTAGGTGTAGGGCACGGTGCAAGAACCTAGTTGTATCCCATACAGGAAAGTGTCTATTATACATGTACAGGGTGGTAAAAGGATAAACCCTCGACCCTGAACGTCATGCTGACCATGGACGCGAGTTCTACTGGGAAATCGTGGAACACTGACTGGACCAAGTGTTGTCTATGTCAGAAGGTTAAGAAAGAAGATCTAAAGTCCCTCCAAGTCAATCCTGCCAGAAGAGACGACCTATGAAAAATGCCACCTACAGCAGCAGACACCATGAGCAGACACTGAGTGCCCAGAAATCTTTCTTTGAAAAGGTGAAATCACTCTCTGCAGTGATGCAGGAGATGGGCAACCCATTTCAAGAAGAATCAGCCGACCTGCTGGTGCTAGACACGAAGAACATTGCAGACCCAATTCTAGCTGAAATGGTAGCTACACATCACCGGCGGGGCAAAGAGCAGTTCCAATCATTCATAGAGGGGCTAGAGGAAGAAGGTCAAAGTCCTTTCTATCATCTAATCAAGAAAAACTTTGTTTTTTTCTTCAAACAAAAGCAGGCTGAGGGAATTTCTAAGGAGAAAGTCCTAAAAACCGACTGTCAGTTATTCTCGCGACTGTTCATCTTGTGACAGAACAGGCAGTGTGACTTGCAAGAATTTTTCAAGCACGAGAATCAGTCACACCCTGCATCTCTCAGTGACAGCGGCAAGCTTCATACGTGTCAGAAGTCACAGCTGGTTGAAATTCTTGAAGCGCAAGTGAACATCTCACGCGGCGATGGCTGCTCGTTTGTCGATACTCAATGCGTGGCTCAGCCGCGAATTGCCGCGAGTTTTTATCGGCCGTAAGTCGCTCTTCCCGCTTTCTCGCTCTCTCCCTCTCCCCTCTCTCTGTCTTTCTCTTTCTCTCTCTCCCCCGTCTCTCTCTCTCTCTCTCTCTCTCTCTCTCTCTCTCTATGGGCAGCAGATGTGTGGTTGCGAAGTATAAGAAACGTACGAGCAAGCTGGTTGTTGTTTTGCTTGCGTGCAAAGCTCAATTAAAAGAAAACGTACGCACTCTGTGACATAGATTCTAACACACGTCATAACTCGAACCGTATCTGCAATAGATATCAATTTAGTAACATCTCCATTCCATATCTCAGACGTCTACAAAGTGCAAATATTTCTTTTTCAATAATACGTTTGCTATATCGTTGCGTGTACCGAGGTAGTCGTCGTGACAAAAATCTTACAGAGCAAACACTCAACCCTCCTTAAACCCCGCTCCACCCCCCCTCATTGCACGCATTACTGTCATCAACAGTTTACTCTCAATCAAACTATGTTTGCATAATGAACCAACGGGGGCCAATATTTACCCCCGAAGATAAGCGATATAGGTCCACACACAAACTTAAGGTCCTTATGAAGCTTAATTGACACACTCGACGTCGAACGTGTACGTACTACGTATGCATGTATGTACGCGCACGTGTAGGGTTACATTTCTACTAGCGTAGACGCGTATTATTGCTGTCGTGGCGCCAGAAGGCGTGCGGGAAAAGTGGTGGGGGAAAGGTGGTGAGGGAAAGGCATACAAACAAACAAACACACACACACGCCCATACAAACAAACAAACAAACATACACGCACACACACACACGCGCACAAACAGACACACACGCACGCACGCACGCACGCACACACACACACACACGCGCACGCACACACGCGCGCACACACACACACACACACAC